TGACTAGTGATTAATTGACTATACCAGCAAAACTTTCGCTTGACCTGCTTAATTAATTACTCTATCTACTTCTAGCCCCATTTTTTTTCATTTATGTAAGAAACATAGTGGCCAAGCATAGGCATTCTGAAAGTCTAGTTCAAATAGCACACCATTCTCAATCTTGCCTATCGAGAATCTAATTTTCTAATCAATCGAATTGCATTTAGTATCTGCCTTCACTTATGAAGATGTTTTGAAAGTAGGAATTTCCACTCTCCTGCAACCTCTCATCCACATACTTTGAGTGCATGCTATTATCCTTCGATGCTGTGAACTGGTCTTGGGGCCTAGTAGTTCTTTTTATACAAAGATGAATGCTAGTTGGGAGTCGCTTTAATAGTTTTTTAGAAGGCATTTTCTTTAGAAAACTTCTGTTATTTCGTTATATTTTCAATCAATCTCCCAGGAATTCTGAAAAAAGGCAATAGAAACAATGACACGGTTTTGGTTTCTGTATCATCAGAGCTTCCTATAGATTCAAATTTATTCTTATCTGGAAATAGTCCACTTTTGCATATTGGTGTCAGATAGGAATCATATTGCCGTGAGGTATGTGTTATAGGTCAAATGATATGCTAAACCCTAAAATGGTTCTTATGTGAAGAACTCAAACAAAACCAGACCATATCTTTTTAAAAAGCTTACTCCTTGATGTGCTTGATTCCAGTTCCATTTTTCCAGTAGAGTTCCTTCTTCTTGTTGCATAATCTTGACAGTAGTATGGTTCTGAAGCAATACTAGTAGGATGACATATTACAGTGGAGCCGGATTTCCTATAAAAGTAACTGTCTTATTTTTATCTTTGTGGTATTTATGCTTTAAAAATTGGTGGACACTGTTGAGTTGTTGAAAAAACTATAAGAGAATTCATGTACCCCGAGTTTGCAAAACTATGCTAAAGCTTGGAGCTTAATCTGGTTTATTTGATTTTTCAAGCGCATGGTTCATTAGTATTTTCTTTGGACTGCGGGATAGGTCATGGTTGTGCTTGGGTCTGTAAAAGCGTCATGCATTTGGTGCTTATATTTCAGGTTACGAGTTGAATATATTTTTGTTTGATTAGTATTTTGCATGGGCAGACAAATTAGTAAGGATTTAAATATAATAGTTGGTGGAGGTTAAAGATGATTGAACAGTTCCCATGGTTTGATTGATTCGCCATTTCGATAGACATATTAACTCCTCTAAAGAGTTAATATGGTTCATGCTATAGTCCGTTATCAGATTCATGTTTAGGAGCTAAAGCTGTGACACTGTCAAATGGAAACTTGACAACTTTGGTTCTTTAAAGTAAGCATGATAAAGAGACGAGATCAAACTCTTGTGGTAGGAACTTTTGTTGTTTCAGGGATGTGCAGTTTGCTGAACCATTGAGTTTTGCTGGTGCGTGAATTCCTATTTTTCAATTGTGAGAGCAGATATAATATCAAACTAGGTTCTCATTGTCGAAGCCCTTGAAAATTAGTGAGTTTGTTTGGATAAGAGTTTATTTGGATGATTTATTTGAGATATTTACTGTAGCACTTTTTGTGATGTGATGTATGTGAGATAAAAAGGTGATTGGGAAGATAAAAAGGTGATTGGGATTTGTGAAAACAAATTTTGCAAACCAAATTTGGCTTGTCCAAACAAACTCAGTGTTTTTATAAAAACACCACACTTACCTTCAGGCTGCATTGCCTTTGTTTACTTGGTGGTCCTACCCTTATATAAAGATGCTTGAAAGTTGAGATGCCATCACCATCAGGTTAGGCAGGATCATTATGGTTGGTAGTTTTGGGGCTTTTGTTGCGCTACGAGGTTCTGTGATGCAGGAAATAGTGGCAACTGCTAAGGATAAAGATTAACGAGGAGAGAACACATTAATCTACAAGAAAAGGAGGATTAGTCAACCCAGGAGAGCTTAATTTGATACCTGAATCATATGATGAGGAAAACGTATTGCTGCAGTACAGAAATATGTCCATTAACTGGGGGCTATAGAATCTAATGTTGCCCTAGATTGTGAAAAGTCCAAATAACTTTTTTAAAAAATTCCTGCCTAGTGGTCCAACTGTTTAAGACTGGCAATTCTAAATAGCTACTGCAGCACTTAAGTAAACCCCTGGGGAGAACTTCTTATCTAAATAAAATCAAATTAATTGATTATCAATTAATAGTGCATCAATGTGTTATGTGAGCCTGACATTTTATCAGTGTCTAATTTCAGATAGTGATGGGGATGAACTATGGTATGATGATGGAGCTTTACCCTATGAGACAGAGAAAGTTGAAAAAGCATTTGATATGGAAAGGGAGTGGCAGAGGAGGCGCGAGCAATTTCATACAGTATCCTTGTTCTAATTGGCACGTTAGCAAGTTCGTGATTGTGCCTCATTTAATGCTGATATAGCATGATAACTGAAACTCCTAAAATAATAATCATGTGGGAAGTCTGTTCATGACTTTAAATAAGAATATCAGAATAGGTACATGGAGGTGAGAATGAAATTTGATGCTATTGAGAGTTTGGGATTAAGAAATATGATGAAGCTATTTCACATCCAGTTTATGTGTGTTCTATTTTTTTTTAATAGATAATAAATATTTGTAAATCCTGATGAACTATCAGATTGGATATCGTGACGGTCTGGTAGCTGGAAAAGAAGCATCTGCTCAAGAGGGATTTAACATAGGCTTTAAGGAATCTGTATTTGTTGGCCAAGCATGGGGTCTTGTCAGAGGCGTTACCAGGTAAATATAATAAGACAGAAATTATTGAACTTTTACTCCACTGCTTTTAGAGGTCTTGGGTTCAAATCCTCCTTCCCAGCCACCATCCCTCCCCCCGCGCGAACTTGTTAAATCCCACCCCTCCCCTGCTTTTGCTTTTAAGTTCCCTTCCACCACTTTTAACATCCCAATTCTTTTTCTTCCTCCCGAACGAAAGTCTCCTAGAACTAACAATTTTCCTTCCATCTCTTGACGAAGTGCTTGGGTTTGTCTTCCTGATGGGGTAAAAGAGGGGTTGGTTGAAACAGAGGAGAAAAGAAACAAGTTGCGGCAGTTGCATGAATCAGTGCGTGGTATTTCGGCAACAGATGCACTTAGGTTGTTCCATGATCACCTTAATAACAATTTGATGGAGCATGGGGAGAATGCAGAAACCGGTTCCAATACAGGAGATTTGCGTGCCCAATGTTCTGGTGCTAATGTTATTGAACATTATGTCCGGGAGTTTAACTTGCTTCTTGTTCAATGTTCTGCAATGGATGTGCACCTAGAATGACTTAAAATTGTCATGTAATGCGTGGAATATGCTTAGGTGTATTTGCATCCAAAGGAAATATATTTGGCGTCTTTTGGATAGCGCCGCAAAACTAGGCATCTGTCAGATATACCATTTCTGTTTTGAAAGGTTTCTCATCTGCCTATATTGAGCCTGGACGTTGAAGCATTCCTTGCAAGCCAGCTGCTTGGGCAACATACATAGCTTGATTGACTCTGCTTGATCTCAATAGTTGAATCGTGTATTCTTCTTGGCACCCTTGAAAGTCTGTGAACTTTGACAATGCCACTTTTGTAACTGGAGCTTTTATGGTTAGTATTTTTGCATAGTAAATTTTGTTTTTGGAGATAAATGAAAAACATATTTTTTAGGGTTAGTTACACTTTACTCCTCAAGCTTTTACCTGAAGTGTACTTTACCCCTCCCGAACGAAAGTAATGGGCACTTACCTCCTTTGAAAAATTCCCCTGTACAAAAATATACAAATACATGATGTGGATTTTTCCTTTAACAAAAATGCCCTCCTTGAGAGGGTATCTCTGACGTTATTATTTTTTATTTTATTTCTATTACTGTTTTTACCCCTTTCGTTCTGCTTCTGACTAAAAAGATGTTTGTAGATGTAAATATTTTTGCCGTTCAACTTATATAGCATTTCTCTTCGTTCTTTTCAGCTAAATGCACAAGGCAAAAAAAAAAAAAATCAAATGTACTTTCCATTAGTTTTTGAGTGCTCAGTAGCCAAACAAGGTAAATTGAAAATTAGTATGCAAAATATTTTGTATGGTATAAATGTTTAATCAAGAATTGTGTCATTTAAGTAATGTGTAAAATTAAGTGTTTTTTTTTGTTGGTCACATAGGTCCGTTTGGCAAGTGAGTTTTTTAATGTTTGTCTAAAACTTTACTGTAACTTACCGTAGAAGTTGTTGAAAAAATTTTTGAAGTGTGTAAATTTTTGGATATTTTGAAGTGTGTAGTTTAAAAACTTTGAGTAGTTTTTGAACTTACTGTAGCTAATGTTGTTAAAAAAAACTTGTAACAGGCAAATTTGATCAAAAACTTGCTTGTCAAACAAAGTCATAGTCTGACACACGCACAGTTACTTATATATCAAATGTTTTTTGGTGAGTATATGATGTTTCGTAGTTTTTTGAAATTTTCATTTTATTAGAAAGATTCAGTTTTAAATACTTAAACGTTTTATTTACCCTAGAACTAGTAAGATTCAACCTTCTGACTCATTTACATATCCAAGCATTGAACTTATCACATTTCACTAGACGTTGCCAATTTATTACGTTTGTTTACTTTTTTTTGAATAATTTATTTGGTTGCTGAAAAAATCGAAACAAAATGAAAAGGGTCAGTTCATTCTCGGGATGAGTTTAATCGTACTTATGCTTGTTGAAATAGATATAAATGATAAATAAATTAGAAAAGGCAAAGTGGATGAGTTTTAGAGTATTCTTGGGGTCACTAGAAGAAATCAAAAGAGCAAGTAAATTCATGATAAATAAATAAGACCGCGGGGTAAAGTTGATAATTTCTGTTATATATTGGCCTGAAGTAGAAATTGATCATTTCTGTTCATGTTTCTTTCGCAGGAACAAGAGGCAAGGTAGTCTAGCGATGTAGTAATTGTTATGTGAAGTAGAAATTGTGAATTGCCATAAGATTCAGTTGTTGAATTTTTGGAAGACGCATAAACTACTCTTGCACATAAATAAAATGGCGAAATAACCTTTTCACCAACAACAAAAACACTGATAAGGCTGTTTAACACAATAAAAGTACCACACGAACTTCAAACAAATGGTCTCAACTTGAAGATTGACAGAATATCTTACAAGAAACGGTGATATATCATTAATATTCTGACCCAACAATTCAAGATATGAAGCTGATGCTTCTCTGGTAAAGCTGGATCAATCAACTACTAGCTTCTTGGTGTAAACCTTCTTCAGTTTGTCATCTCCCAGGAGTACGTATAATTGCAGATGTTTCTTCTCTGTTCACTGCAACGAGAATAAGAGAAATTGTCATACGTTAGCAGAATTTGAACTGTGAATGGATCTTTTATGAGTAAATTTCAGAGATGAATAAGTTATCAAAGAGAAAAAGTTTTAATCGTCACCAGAGTGGCATCAACTGCAAGCTTGACTTGGCCTTGCATGACTGAATGGGAATGAGCTGTGACTCGGTTGGGTATTGTTGGATATTTTAATAAAAATATCATTATTATTTTGAATTCATTCACATGCTTATTTTGAATTCAATTGCAATAAGTTACAAATTTTGAAATGAATTTTCAGTTATAAGAGCACCATTAAAAAGGGTAACCTATGAGATTTATGTCTTGAATTCAAATGCAATAAGTTACAAAATTTGAAATGAATTTTCAGTTACAAGATCACCTTTAAAAAGGGTAACCTATGAGATTTATGTCTTGTTTTTGTAACCTATGTGATGATTAGATTTTAAGAATTTTATTTATTGAATTTTAACTAGTATACAATGCCCTAAACCTTTTCAAATTTTGTAACTGAAAAATATAACACATTTATTCCATTTAATGGTGGCATTCCTATGCACCTAAAGCTTTAGCCTATAAATAGAGGTCACTATCAACCAAGTTTCATACACTTTTCTTGCTATCTTAAAAAAACTATCTTCCTCACTTCTATTGGGCATTAGTTAGGTGTTGAGAAGAGCTTTAGCTTCTCTAAATTCTGTAGATTTAGTAGAAGCAACAGCATAGGCTGGGCTGTTGCATCCCAGAGGCGACGTGCCATCAACCTTCTACACCGGGCATAATCCCGAGAGGGGCGCGAATCGTCTTAAGAGAGCGACCTAGTCCGCGCCTCACCTAGCCGAAATTACTTTATTTCTTTTCTTTGACTTTTGTTTTGCAGGTTGATCGTGCATATCAAGTTCTAAAGGAACAACAATTTAAGACGATTCGGAGTACCATGGAGGTTGCAAGCAATGTTGCAAACGCTACCACTATTGGATCTAGTGATCTCAACAAACCATTTTGCTTTAGTGGCCAACATTTCAAAAGGTGGGCCAAGAAAGTGATGTTCTATTTGAAGCTAATGAAGGTTGCCTGGGTCTTAGCCACAAAGAATCCAAAAAAGATAGACACCAATTCCATGATTGATGAAGAAAGGGAGAATCATGCCAAACAACTTCAAAAATGGGAAAATGATGAGGAAGATTGCAGAAATTATATCCTTAATTGTTTGTCTGATGAACTTTATGATTTTTATTCTTCATCTTATACTTCAGCAAAAAGAATTTGGAGAGCATTGCAACAAAAATATGATACTGAAGAAGCAGGCTCGAAAAAATATGCTTGTAGCCGTTATTTCAAGTTTTAAATGGTGGAAAACAAGCCAGTACTAGAGCAAGTTCATGACTTGCAAATGATCGTCCATGAGATTGAATCTGAAGGAGTCAAAGTCGATCCGCAAATGCAAGTTGCAGCCATCATTGACAAACTTCCAACATCATGGAAAGATTTTCAGAAAGGGCTACGTCATAAGCAACAAGAATTGACAATAGCAAATCTGATGGCAAGGTTGCGCATTGAAGAAGAAGCTAGAAAACAAGACAAAGGTGAAGAGTTCAATGGGAGTACTAAGGTGTAAACTTCCTAACTTCTAGTGAGAATGTCTCTAAGGGTCAACAAGACAAAAATAACGCCTATTTGAAGCCTAGAGGGAAGAATATGAAAAACAAGTTTTCAAAAAATTATTTTAACCAAAAAAAGTCAAATCAAGGACCCCCTTCAAAACAAGTTTCAAATACTCCAAATTTTGGAAATAATATGAATAATAGAGCTTGTTTTGTTTGTGGAAAATTGGGTCATCGTGCAAAAAATTGTTGTTTTAGAAAATTTGGACCAAATTTTAAGCCACAAGCTAATGTGACTCAACTAATTGAAGAGTCATTTGTGGCTATGGTTTCTGAAATCAATTTTGTTGGAAATACTGAAGGGTGGTGGGCTGATTCTGGTGCCTCTAGGCATGTTTGCTATGATAGAACTTGGTTCAAAAGTTATTCTCCTATTGAAAAAGAAACAAAAGTTTTGCTAGGAGATTCACATACAACCAATGTTCTAGGCATGGGCGAAGTTGAACTAAAGTTTACTTCTGGGCGTGTCTTGACCCTAAGAGATGTTCTTCACGTTCCTGAAATTAGGAAGAACTTGGTTTCTTGCTATCTTCTTAATAAGGCTGGTTTTAAGCAGTCTATAGAGTCTGATCAATATGTGCTTACAAAGAATGGTACTTTTGTTGGAAAAGGTTATGCTTGTGATGGTATGTTTAAACTTAATGTTGAAATGAATGAAATTTCTACTTCTGCTTATATCGTTTCTTGTATAAATATGTGGCATGCACGTCTTTGTCATATAAATAGCAAATACTTAAAATATATGAGCCACATAGGGTTAATTCCAAAATTGCATAATGAGTTTGAAAATTGTGAATATTGTAGCATGACTAAAATAACTAAACAACCTCATTTGAAAGTTGAAAGAAAAACAGAGTTATTAGAATTAATACATTCTGACATTTGTGAATTTGAAAGCATATTAACACGTGGAGGTAAAAGATATTTTATCACATTTATAGATGATTTTTCAAAATATTGTTATGTCTACCTTATGAAACATAAAAGTGAGGCTTTTGAGAAATTTACTATTTTTGTTAAAGAGGTTGAAAATCGTTTTGAGAGAAAAATCAAAAGATTTAGAACAGATAGAGGAAAAGAATATGATACTATTGGCCTTATAAATTTTATCAAATCATTAGGAATAATACATGAGGTTACTCCACCATATTCACCTCAATCAAACGGTGTGGCTGAAAGAAAAAATAGATCTTTGATAGATTTAATAAATGCTATGTTAGCAAATTTGAGTGCACCTAAAAATTTATGGGGTGAAGCTATTTTAACAGCTAATTATACTTTAAATAGAGTACCACGTAAAAAAGATTTAATAACTCCTTATGAATTATGGAGGAACAAAAAACCCAATATTGAATATTTTAGAGTATGGGGTTGTTTAGCGTATGTAAGAATTTCCGATCCAAAAATTCCAAAATTAGGAATAAAAGCAACTAGATGTACATTTATTGGATGTTCTTTAAACAATAAAGCATATAGATTTCTAGATCTAGAAAATAATGTAGTAATTGAATCTCTAGATGTAATTTTTCATGAAAATAAATTTCCATTTAAAGATAGTGGGGGTATAAAATTGAATGAATATAGTGAAAAATCCGAAGAAGCTAGTTCTTCTAATGCTAAAGGTTCAACTAGAGGAAAAGAGCAATTGAGAACCAGTAAATGTGAGGATTCACAAAATTCATTTATTTTAAAAACCCTATTTCGAGCTTATTTAACATGTAATTGTCCATTTATTCCGAATATCATTTTCTAGCCCTATTGAACTTAATTACATGGAAGTATAGCTTCAAAATATTTTTAAAGTGACTCGTTTAAAAAAAAAAATTAGTCCCCGAAAGCGCGTTTAGTGAAATTAGTGAAAAAGTATTTGGAAATTTTAACCGTTGGAGAGTACAATAAGTTTCGAACATTGGAGACTTGTACTATGGACCTAAATTAGGTATTTTAAAGTTTAAGTACTCAGGTGATAGTTAGTAGTACTATCGTTATAAGAATTTTTTGGAAGTTTCACTTTATCGCGCTTAAATTGGAATTCGCATTTTTGCGCGCACGATTAATTGGGAAACTATAAACCTTCATTTTAAATCTTTAAGAGTGGATAATAATAGTATGAATATAAGTATATTGGAGGTTTAGTGCACTAGTGAAATGAACGCGAGAGGATTTGAGCACAAAACGCGCGCGTACGCGCATTATTGAAGAGTTGACTTTTACACCAATTCTAGCCACACAAATGAAGCTTCCTTAGGAAGCCAAATTGGATCAAAACACTCTCTCTCTTCCTCACAAAGTGGCCGGCCATCAGCTGTAAAAATAACCCAAGGAGTTCTTCATTTTTCATCTTTAATCTTGCACAAATCTTCTCCAATTCCTTCCAAATTTCACACACACTTAACTTAATACTTGGAGATCATCTTAAGCTACAAAAAGGGGGAGCTTTCCACAGTTTTCTTGAGCTAAGAGAGGGCCGAAATTCTACCTTGTTCACCAACACAAGTAAGTGACGATCAACCCTCAAATTCTTGACCTATGGAAGTTGATTTACACTTATGAGCTTAGATATTTATGTGGGTGGCTTGTTATTGTTGGAAAAATTTTGAATGTGGGCTCTATGAACTCCCACTCTTGGATTGATGGCTGATGTGATGCTTGATGATGGATCTAATGTTGGTTTAGTGCTCAAATTGGTAGATTAATGGTGCATAGCTAGTATAAACTTCAAGGAGTGCATGGATGTAAAGTTTTCAATTCTGCCCCTGTTATGATCGTGCCTCTTTTTGCAGAATTTTGAGGTTTTAATGGTTTGCATATGATGTTTATATGTTGTATAGATGGTGTACAAAGTTTCATCAAAAAATATTGAGGTTTGGTTGGTCAAATGGATTAATCTCGCAAAGCTAGCAAACCTGGAAAATTTCCCAGTAATGCTCAGACAGCCTTATTGTTTCATCCATAACTCTGTACTTCGATGTCAAAATCAAGTGCCGTCAGTGGAATTTGAAACTAGACATTCCCAGATTTCCAACGGTATAAAATTCACCCCCTAATTCCACCCGAGTATCCCGTATCAACCGTTTAAAGATGACTGTCATGTTTCTCTGTTTTCCTGGAACGAAGTTCAGAAGCTGCAACTTGAGGCTCGAATTTGAGCTAGTTGTGTGCTGAATTTCAAAACAATTTCTTCTGTCAAATTATATTTTTATGAATGTATTTTTCAATGCCACCAACCATGCTCAATTCCGAGTTGAATTGAGTGATTTGTGATCGAAATACGAAACCTGCCCTGTTCTTGAAAACCCTAAATTTTGGGCAGAATTGATGCTAGACTTGGTGTGGACTTGCCAATTGAATTTCTTGGAGTTAAAACACTTACCAAATGTACCATGAATGTTCTTTAGGCTTTGCTTGCACAAATGAACCATGTCTGAAGGATTTTCCTTGGCCAAATGTTTGGAAATGGAAAACAAGAAGCTCAAGGTAGTTTTGCTTTAGGATTTTTCGAAACTTTGGTTG